TATTTAGTTTTTTACTAATTGTAAAATACATATTTGTTAGATCACATTAAATATAAATTAAAATATAAATAAAAAATCAAAGTACAAGAAAAACTTATAATATATCTTTAGATTATCAGGTTCGGTTTGTTTAAACAAATGTCTGAGATAAATTCTATATATAAAATCAAATTTAAACAAATTAGTATGAAAATTAATACTTATTTTTTATATAATCATATAATAGCAATATTATTTATAAAAAGTTTACTTTGTAATAATTTTTTATTGTATATATTTATATATAAAGTTTTGAATTATATTCATATATATATATATAATAATTTAAATTTTTTTATGCATTGATTATAAATTTTATTAATTAAAGAACAAGTTTAAAATGTAGTACATATACTGTATATAATTAAATGTTGGCATTAAATATGTATTACCTTATTTATAAACATTGGCTGTTTCAATTTAGCAATAAACAAATTTTCTAATAACCATTTGGCATTATGATCTTGGCAAGAATGTTTTTGATGAATATTTCATCTAAAAATTGATTGTTTTATAATTATATTACTAGTTTGTTTAATATTTTTAGTTGCTTTATCTTATAACATTTCAATTCATTTGTTAATAACTTGTTGTATAGCATTTTTATTTTCAATTTTATCATTTTTACTTTTATTATCCAAATCTTTAAAAAATGTTTTTATATTATTCTTATTTGTTTCTTTTAAATAAATGTTATCAAGTTTATAACTAGTTTTAGTTTGTTTATTTGTATTAGTATTATTACAACTTTCTTCTAATTTTTTAAGTTTAGTTAATTAGTATATATAATGTAATTCTTCTTATAATTAATATATATCAAAAACTTTATTATTATTTAATTAATTTCTTTTTTGTGAATGAAAGAAAACTTATTAAACTAAATAGTTACTCAACAGATGCAATATTTATTGTAATTGTTATAAGTTTAGATAACTCAAATTGAAAATTTGATGTTACAAATTTCTAATTATTAAATACATTATTTTTAAAATTATTAAATATAACTATATTAAAAGAATATAATTATTTGTAATATATATCAAGCTCATAAAAAATAGAATTAGATATATTTTCAAATTAAGCTAAATAATAATAATTATTTATTCTTTTAAACTAATATAGTTATATTAATTATAAATTTAAACTTCTTATAGTAATAATTAATATAAAATAAAAATAAAAAATAAAATAAAACTTGTTTTCACATTTTTCATTATTATTTAAAATAATTAAAAATATAACTAACTTTCACACAAGATAATATTACTTGTTAATATTAATAAATAAAATAATCTTTTAAAAATTAGGATTAAAGTTCTTAGAGTTAGAATATAAGGTTATACATATCTGAAATTATATGCTAAAACCTTTTACTTAATAACTCTAAGTTAGTTTTTATAAAAAAATTTTTGAAATATTTATAATTTTTTAAAGTTTTTTATAAAAATTTTGTATTTTTGTTATACAAGATTATAATTTGATTGGCTTTATATATAAAGAGATAATATCACCTTAGGTAAAAATTAGCAATACTTAATAATTAATTATAGTTTTTTAAAAGTTTAGTTAAATTCTTACAACTTTTATAAACCAATTAAAACAATATAATACTTTATAAAGTTTTGCATTATTTTATTATAATTTATCAAAACCAAAACAAAAAAATAGAAGAATTTTTTTTAATTAAAATAAATTAAATCAAAAATTTTTGTTTTTTAATATAGTAATACTATATACTAAGATTATAAAATACAAAATAAAGAATTATTATTTTTTTTTAAGTTAAAGTTCCTATCTTGGGAGTTGCGATGTTTTTATTCAAGTATATTAGGACACGGTGTGCCACCAA